AGCCCTGTTTCAATCAAAGAGCCAGCTACATCTCTGTGAGGGCTGAGCTCCTTTGATTAGGGCAGTGAGTTTAGGGGCAGTTTAGGGTACTGGTTTAGGGGCAGGGAAGCTGCATGAGGGTGCTGCGTGCAGAGGGAGAGACAAGACTGGGGAGTGTGAGAGCTTTCAAGAAAAGGAGCTGCCATCACAGATCAGGAAACTTCCCTGAGAAACATCCAGTGTCCAAAGTCACCAGTGGCCTCAATCATGATCTCTTGAGTAGAGTAACGACAGAAAACCTCAGCTGTCCCACGTTGGCTGCATTTCCAGCCCAGCTCTGACTGTGCAGTGGGGTGAGGGAGAGAATGAAGGTAAGTGCTTGAAACTCACCTCCAATATCTTCCTTTTTTATAGGGCGGAACTTATGCTATTCAAGGGGCCACCCTAAGTATGGCTTTGTTGTAATTAGGAGACTGTCGTTGGGGGCTCAAAGTCATCAGCACTTGGAGGATGCCCTCCAGAGAAGACTGTGGGTATTTCACATAAGATGAGGATTTTGGTTTTTAACTTTACTAAGAGAGTGGTTGTTTGAATTTCTTGTGGAGGGGAACAGAATGCATTGATGGTAATGTTGATCACTTGTGCCTTTTACATGGTGACTAGAACTGAAATTTGAAGTAGTTGGTTTAAATCTCTGCTTATTTGTGGACTTAAGAAAATGAAACTCAGTGACCCACATAGTGAATAAACCTTATGGCTGTAGTAGTAAAAGAAGTGATTTCTTTTCTAAAGACTTTGTCCTATTTAGCTGCTTTTAAATTAGTGCACTCAAAGAGTGCCCTGAAAAATTTCTAGAAAATGGGCTCTTTAGCATGTGATGCTAAAGCATTTTTCTTAACCTGTAAAAGCTCTTCATTCAAAGAGTTGGCTTTGTATTTACAACTAACTAGATTGGGCGGACTTTTCCACTGGCCTCTGGTATTCAGAAATTGTGTGTTTTCCTCCAATGCCTAAATCCGAGTGTGTTTTTCTTTCCCACAAAGAACAGATGGATCATCAAGGCCAGAATTATTTTCAAAGTAACATCCCTGTGCTTAGTCATGACTCGCTTATAAGCCACTTGGTCCCTTTATCTTAATGAGGTGCTCTCAGAACCTTCTTTAAATTCCTGTTCTTTCTTCACTCCTGTTTTCAAAACCCTGTAAATGATATCCCAGGTTGTCTTCTATCAAATCCATTTTCTGATTCTAGACACTCAAAGCTCATCTTCTGGAAGCACAAGTTTCATTTCTCATGATTTCTTTCACCACAGTGGTCTTCTTGCTGTTTAAATGGCAAGACCATCGGCTGCTCATCCTCACCAGAGAACTTCGTTCATGTCATTTTCCTCACTGGAGTAGCCCCTCTACCAGTGATGTACTGCTGGCCATGGCATCCAGCAACCCCAAGAGGACCGACCGTTATGACCACCAGAACAGCCCCTCATTGACCCACTTGTTTCAGGAAGTTGCTGGCCATAGAAAATATCACCCCCTCTAACTGTGAACAGTCTTTCCACCTTTGAGGGGCCCTATACTGCTTGCTTACCTGTTATGGCCAACCAAGGACTGTGTAATGTCACAGAAAACAAATTAGACAACTCGACTTCCACTCGTGGTGGTGGTGGTGCAGAATATCATGATAGTCAAGGGAAAGGAGTGTTTCAAAGAGGGAGCAATGGACTGTGTTAAATGCTGCTGGCAGGTCAACTCAGATAAGGATAGAGAACCGGTCATTGGGTTTAGCAAAGTCAAGATAATTAGTGAGAAAAACGGTCTCACATTTGACTAGATGTGTTTAAAGGAATAGGAGCAAAGGCATTTGAGACAAATGGTGGGAGAACAGTTCTTGAGTAGGCGGGAGGGCTGGATTCCTGGCATAAGTGGCAGACTGTCCTTCATGACGGACAACCCAGTGACTTCGCAGTAACAGCCGAGGAGTTGGGAATAAGTGCAGGTCCAGGAACTCCGTCAGTGTGTTAGTTAGGGTTGTGCAAGTTCTTGTTTGATTCTTCTGTGTCTTCAGTCACTGTCAGTCAGTAGCTGGGACTGTGGGTGGGAGGGCTCATGGGAGGCTTAAAGAGAGAAAATATGGGGGAAAAATCACCTGGCGAGGAGAGGAGATTAGGGAAACAGGAAACAGAATGAGCTGTGGTAGCATCCAGGACAAACTGATGTGATTGCTCATGAATTTAAGGGGATCTGAGTCATTATGGCTATGTGTTTCCCTTAGTTGTGCGGGTGCTAGCGAAGCCATTTATCATCTTAATTTACATCTAAATGCTTAGGGCACAATAGCCCCTCTAATGTAGGATGTATATTTGGGGGAGAAATGTTGTAGAAATAGGACAAAATGGGGTGCCTGGGTGGCTCAGTTGGTTAGGTGTCTGACTCTTGATTTCAGCTCAGGTCATGATCTTCCGGTTCATGGGATGGAACCCTGCATTGGGCTCTGCACTGTCCACATGGAGTCTGCTTAGGATTCTCTCTCTCCCTCTTTGCTCTGCTCCCATTCATGTTCTCTCTTTCACTCTCTAAATAAATAAATAAACTTAAAAAAAAGAGAGAAGAAATGGGGCCAAGTTTGGGCAGTAGCTTGAAATCAAAAAAGACAGGAAAGCACCGAAGGACTGGGATTCAATCTCCCTGAGTTTCTCCATAAAAATTAATATTTGCAATAGATATTCCTGGTAATTATCTCACATTAACACTTTTCAGCAGGCAAAGATTGTTCATTCCCTAAAGAAAATAGAGTCCTTTGAGGCTGCCTTAATAAGCACCATGGGATTTACATTCATCATGAACTTTCCAAAAGTAGAACATGGAGACAGGAAATTTCAAGATCAAGTACACAATACATTCATATCCTTGGGGATTGTACTAGGTGACATAATAAAGTAAGACTTACCTATTAAATTTTTATACCAAGATTCTCTTTAGCACAGATACCCATCCTTCTTCCTGAGTCCTTCTCTGCATAAGTGGATGCATCCAGGTATACACACACACACACGCACACACACACACACACACACACACACACACACACGGAGAATAAAGCTGGAGAGCCAAGAGGTGAGGGGCAGGTTTTTACTCTACCTGTAGAGAAGACCTAGAATGTTGGGAAGATGCTTTGTAATTTGTTCTCTGGATTCCATAGATCCATCTCTGGGGAATAGGTTGGTTCTAAGTGATCAGAGTATAAAGCCCTCACATCTAGAAGCCTCCTGAGCACCCTGAATCCTGTCCAGTGATCAGGGAAGAAAGAGGATCTGGAACTCCTCATTTCCCCCAAACTGCTTCAAGGAGTGGGTGACACAGCTCCAACCTTTTCCCATCTCTGTGCGTGTTCCTGTACATGAAAGCCCCACTTGAGAAAATGCAGGAAATAGTACTTCTGTTTGTCTAAGTCATCATTTATCCATTGGTTAATAGTTTACAGAAGAGCAGAGCAGCCAACTGGCAGGAACTGATAAAACCTGATAGGTTTGGGAAGGATAAAAGGCCACTTTTGTGAAGATGCATTTTTCCTCACTATTTTGGGAGACTCCGAGCAGTATCCATTTGCCACCCATGATGATAGGTGTCTGACGTCTCTTCATTCCCCTCTGGCCATTTGTGGGAGGGGCTGGTGGCACCATCTGTTCGTGGCTCAAGGTATCAACTGAAAAGGACATAAGACCATCTAATCCTCTTGTCTCACATCACAAATGATGGTGAACTCAGAGGTGTTATGTCATTTGTCTTTGAACTATATTTCATTTCCTCCTCTGCTGAGAACCATGTGTTCCTACTGTATCCTAGGAATATCTCCAGCCAGAGAAGTGAGGAACGTTAGGGTCCTTTTCTTTGCTGCCCAGGAGGGAGATGTTAATAAGTAGCAGGAAGAAATCCCATAGCTATTAGATAAAGATTCCATAATTATTTCTTCTAGCAGGACTGAAGCTGCAGGGGACAGAATAGCTTCTTTTTTGATTTGATGGTCCTCATCCTAGGGAAACCCTTTGTCAGATCCTAGATAATGTGACTACCGTCATCACTTACTACACATGGGGGGAAAGTTCTAGCTGGGGAAAATATGGTAAAAAGTCCTTACTACAGGAACAATTTCTCTATTTCACATGTGTTTGTACTTGGCAACGTCTTCAGGGAATATTTTTGTTTTTTATGCTTTTTGCATTTATTTTAAGGCACTTTAAAAAATAGTATAACAAATGAAAATATATATATATATATTTTTTTTTCAATGTTTATTTATTTTTGGGACAGAGAGAGACAGAGCATGAACGGGGGAGGGTGAGAGAGAGAGGGAGACACAGAATCGGAAACAGGCTCCAGGCTCTGAGCCATCAGCCCAGAGCCCGACGCGGGGCTCGAACTCACGGACCGC